GTAGGGAAAAGCTTTGATGTGATGCTAAGTGATGGGAAAAAGGAAGACGTTTATACAGTTTGACCTTAATTAGGTAAAAATAATTTCCATAGAAGAAAATATGAAATAGTGGTTCATTCTGAGGAGTAATTGTTGCCGATTTGTATTTTCCGAGTTTTCTCGAAAAAGCACATATTACTTTTAGCAGAAAGATTATTTTAAAAATTGTGGTGGCTGATAAAATATTAATACTTATTGTGTTTAGAGCTGGAGATTAGTTGCAGGAATCATCAATCTGAAAAGCTCATGTCTGAGGGTTGTAATTGGTAGGGTGACTGAGAGCTGATTTGCAGAAGGCCGTGATGGGGAGGAAGGTTTCTCCATGTTCTTGTTGAGTCCTGTCATTCACTAGTTGTCAGTTGCTGATCAGAAAGTCTGACTGGCTGTCAGCTTTGTCTTTGACAAATACAACATAGGAAGACAAAGTAATTATTATCTACTAAAAGTGACTTATTCGGTAGCCAAATATTTTAAAACATGAGGCAACAAGGAAAGATTCCTGATGGTATAAACTGGGAACCATTCTAGGTTGTTCTTCAGTCTCTGGGTTCTCATCCTTGCATACGTCATGGAATCATTTTAGTGGGTCTCTCCCGGCATTGCCTTTTAAATGAAATTAGAATAGAAAATATAGAGTGCGTTGTGTATAGTAAGTATCTGTTCTTTACATTTTTATTTCAGGTTTTGTATGTACTGGATTATAAACGTAAAATGTGTTGGATTTTTCAAGCTATGATTTGCAGTCAAAAAAAAAGTCAGAAGACTCTTATGTGACTTAGACCAGTGGTTCCCAGTAAGATCCTGGGACCAGCAGCATAAGCAGGGGGGCGGGTGGAGTGGGGGAAACACTCTGTGGTTTAATAAGGCCCACGATTCTGATGCAAACTCAAATTCAAGAACCACCAGTCTAGCCTTGCTATTCCGGGTGTGGTCCAGAGACTGATGCTGGGATCACCTCCCAGCTAGCTGGAAATGCAGAATCTCAGACCCCAAACCAGACCTACTTAATCAGAATCCACAGGCTTCACTGTGATTTGTAGGCTTGTATTAAAGGCTTATTAAAGGTTGAGAAGCACCGATCTAAACCACGTACGCTTTCAGGGGCCAAGCAGACAGTGTCAGTGAGCGAAGGTGGCCTGGTTTTCTCCCTGAAGAGTGCAGACAGTCCCTGACTTAGGATGCTTCGACTTAGATTTTCAACTTTACGGTGCTGTGAAAGTGATACAGTTAGTAGAAACTGTACATCAAAGTTTGAATTTTGACCTTTTCCTGGGCTAGTGATATGCAGTTTGATAATCCTCAGTGATGCTAGGCAGCGGCAGTGAAATGGCTTTGCCCAGCGCTAGGCTAATGGTCTCCTGAACCCGTTTAAGGCAGGCCAGGCTGAGCTATGATGCTCCTCAGGTTAGGTGTATTCAATGCATCTTCGACTTATAATATTTTCAACATAAACCCATCCTAAGTCAAGGAGCATCTGTATAGAAAGAAGAAGGCATTGTGCTGTGAAATTTAAGCACTCTTCATTTGTTTAAAAATTTCTCGTCTTGTACCCACCAAACTCATCAACTAAGGTTGACTGCAATTGACATCGGTGACTTCAAGCAGATTTTAAACTCAAATTTTAAGAGTGACCCCCTTGTATTGACATTTTTTGATCTCTTTTAGGAATTTATCAAGGAGCTGCTCTCTCGGATAAGAGGCATGAGGAAACTGAGCCCCCCGCAGAAGAAGGCGGTGTAATTCTGGTGCAAAGGCCAAGAAAGGGTCCTGGGGTTTGGACTTGTCGAGGACTCTTATTAAAGAATAGTTGCCCTTATGAGCAACTTTTTTTCTTTGGGTGGGGGGTATCTATTAGACATTTATTCAAGAGTGTTCATTTTTTTTTGTTTTTAAAGCTTTTGTTATTGTACTATTTTAACAGCAAAGATATCACGACTCTGGTTTCAGCCCAAACAGGGATTATCATCAAACCAGGCAGACGTCCAAGGATGAGCTGGGCCAGGCAGTATTTTCTTCGAGAAATCTGGTGTTTAGGACCTAACTATACAGGGATGATGGTTTTTTAAACAACTAGTTTGGTAATACTTTTTTCTTAAGTTGTGCATTTGACTGAGATGTCGAATTTCTTGTATATATCTACACGCATCTGAGTTACAATGTAGATGTGAGTTTTATTTCACATTGATGAGATAAACTTGTGGTCGTCCTTTAACTGGAGGTCACAGCACATGTGTTTTCAGGAGGCCACCAGATATTCTTCACAGGAGTGCTGCTGACCTCCAATATCCACTTTATACACCAAAGTGAAAGAATTCAGTGTATCCGTTATTTTCATGAGCTACACTACAAAAATGTTGTTAGTCAAGGGCTTAATTTATGGACTGTATATTATTTCATTAATTGAAATGCTTTGCCAGGTCATTTACTTATCACCTCATTTGTGGTATTATAAGTTTTATGAAATCTTAATTTGAGGAACTATTGGGATTTCTAGAGAAAGGCTCACGCCTTCTGAGCGGTGTTCTGCAATGGAAAAGTGGAAGCAAGGTGTCGCAATGAATTCTCTGCTTTCAACCAAGTACTGTGTGTTATTCTCTCTCCATGAAAGCAAGTCCTAAGGAAGTTAGCAGATTATGTATCTTCCTTCTTAGAAGTAGATTCTGGTCACTCTGTGCCTGGGCAGTGTCAGACCAGAGCAGGTGAACTGACTGCTGAGCAGGTGGAGAGGTGAGAAGTCCTCACCTTCTCTCGAGAAAGCTGACGGAGGAGCATTCGCTGGGTTGGAAGCGTGGTGGAGATGGCATTTCTGGTTTCTCTCAGTGGCACATGGTGAGGACTCTGGCTCGTAGCCCTCATTTTGCACCCTGACCCCCTTGCTTAGAACTGGACTTGGGGTGCCTGCCCTGCCCCTCTCAGTTAAATGCCAGCTCCTTGGGGGAGGCTTGAAGTTCAGATGGATGTAGGTGGGGTAGAAAGTCAGAAAGAAGAAACTCTTCGGTTCCTGCAGGAGGCTCCCGCTCCCTCCCCACGGGAACTCCGCCGCCAGTAAGATGTCTCCAGGAGGCCCTGTCAGAGGACGGGGCCAGGCATTTTACATCAAGGGTGCTCTGAACATATTTTATTTTTAAAGAGAACTATGTTTGTGAATTTTATGTAGACTGGCAAGCATTCGAAATGTATTTAATTTTGTAATGTTTATCAATGATTTATTTACGAGCTATTTACTCAAATAAATGGAGCTGCTTACAACTCTGCTTACACGTTTGCCTTACAAAGTACGTTCATGTGATGATTTTCCTTTGTCAGGTGCTCTGCGGATAAGGGTACCAAGCAGCTCTATCTAGCTCTTCATTTTCAGGCGTTTGATCCTGGGACTCTCCTGGTGAAATCGAAGGAGTTGGAACACATTCCTGGGTTGAAAAGGGAACAGAAGACAAGCTCTGTGCACTTGGCCCTGCCTGCCTTCTAGTCTAACCCTCTCCAAGCCATGCCCCCTTCATTTAATTAAGACTTTCCTCTACCTACCTGATATCAATCATCAAGAAGATTTCAAACCAATCGGATATTCCAATTACTGTTAGAATGCCATGTACCTTATGAATACAGAAAAATGCAGTATTTGTAGGATTTGCCTTAGGCTTAACCAGCCCCAGTTATAATCTTCAGATGAAGCAACAATGAACTGTCCCTCCAAAGGCCTCTGATCCCGCCTTGTAACATTCTCAGCCTTCCCTTCTGTTCCTTGCGTGGGGCCTGGCATCACTGACTCCCCTGAGTGCTCGAGCCACAGACATGGACTTCCTGTTTGACTTCCCATCTCTGCCCCCAACACACATCCTCAGTCACCAAGCTCTTACCCTGGTAGTACCTTGCAGATCTGTCCCTTAATTAAATCTTGCCTCGATTGCTGCAGCCATCTTAAAATTGGCCTCCCCGGGTCCAGTCTTGCCTCCCCCTCTGAACTATTTTCCCCTCAGTAGCCTGAATAATTTTTCTGAAATGCAGCCCTGATCATTCCACCCCCATACTTCAAACCCAGACCCCTCTGCATTCCTTGCAAGGCATCGGTCTCTGTCTCTCTAGCCTCACATTTTGGCCGCGCACTAATGTCCACCTCCCCTGAATTCTTTGGGGGTGTCTGGAACATTCTGTGTATTTCCTCTTCTGGGGCTCTGTAAAAACTGTTGCCTTGGTCTGGAACACCCTGTCCACCGACAGGCTCTATCCGCAGACCTGGATTAGACCCCTTCCTCCGTGTGTCTGGAGCTTCCAGGGTCGACCCCATTGTGGCACGTACCTTCAGCGTTACTACTGTCCAGTGCCTGTTTGTCTCTTCTGTTAGACTCTAGGATCTTTTGGGACTGAGTCTTATAAATCAAACACCTGGTCCTATGTTTGGCCCATCAAAGGGATCAATATATGTTTACCCATTGAATAAGTAAGACAAAAGATTCTTCAAGAAAATACTGTCTCCTAACTAGCTGAGATGAGTGGTTCTTAGACCTGAATATACATTTGTATCAAGCGAGAAGCGTTAACAGCGACTGAAGCCTAGATCCTCATCCTGACTACTTTAATCGGAAGCTGTGGGAGCAGAACGTAGGCATTCTTTACAAGGTCCCAGATGGAGCGCCACAGGGCCCACATTATTTCTGTGTAGTCGGATGCATGAATTTGACCTCAGCTCATCAGATTTCTTCCCTTATAGCAGGTGGCAGCAATGACATTAGCATGTAGACTATTCCTCATTTTTTTCTCTACTGGAGAGGCATGAAAGCACATCCAGTGCTCACTCGAACACTGGGGAGTCTAAGTTTAAAATTTATGGAGTGGCATCCATTTACAACAATCATGATAATGGTTCCCATTTATTTATCACTGCACTAAGGGCTTACGTGCCTATCTCATTTAATCCTGACATTAATGGTACGGGATAGATTGCATTACCCTCAATTTACAGATAAGAAAATAAACTCAAAAAGGTTGAGCAGCTTACACTCAGCTGCTCACACAGTTACAGAGCTGAGGTTCAAACCCAATCATCCTGACTGTGAAGTTTTCTTGCCTCTTAGAGAAGGTTACTTTCAGTCCCATCCACATGAGTGAAAACCAGGAGCCGCATCTAATGCGAATCGGGCTCCTGAGCCAATGTGGGGAGGTGGTGGCAGGCTCTGTGGTTGGAGGGGGTCCTCAGCCACCTGCCACTTCTTCCTCATGCCTGAGACCGAGTGCCTGAGCTGCAGTGTAGCCAGGCTCTGTGCTGCTGCCCCTCCATTTCCAGGCTCTTCTTGCCTTCTCCCCTGACCTTTAGACTCCTGGACGTGGCCTCAGCCGCTGAGCATGGAGTATCTATCCTTTCATCAGTTTTCTGAGAAGGCAACATTGGGAGAAAGAGCAGTTCAGGGTAAGGTGGTTTGCAATTCCTGCAACACACAAATACCTAATGTGTATTTATCACGGAGAGTCCCCATGGAAGATTGTGTGCTGTGCATAATCAGTTTGTCAACAATAGATGATTATGTGATTATACCTGGCTCTTTTCAAGAAGATGCAGTGTTTAGGAATACGAGCTCTATTTGAGCCATGACCACTATTTTACCGAGGGATACTGACTGAAGGGGCCACCGCCAAGAGATACGTGTCTGCCTAGGCACCAGGCCCACCACCCGGAGAAGCATGTGGGAGATGAACCCTTTCCCTTTCATGATGCTGGAGAGGCTGCAAGCGGAAGCCAGACCTATGGCTCAGGTCTGCGCTGGGCACTGCTCCACACTCAGCCTGCCAGGGTTGAGTTCATTGTTCTTTTTGCATCTTAGTTTTAAAAGTAAAAAAAAAAATTAAATAGAAGAAAGTTTATAGGATAAGGATATGAAGAAAATTTGTTTGGACAGCTGTCCAATGTGTGTGTGTTTTATGCTAAGTGTTTTTACCAAAGAGTCAAAAAATTAAACAAAATAAAATGTTTATAAACTAAACAAGCTAGAGTAAGCTAAGGTTAATTCATTACTGGAGAAAGAAGTTATAAAATGAGGGGTGTTTATGAAGTGTACAGGAGTGGACAGTATGGCCTTGACATTGACCCACCACCCACTCACTGACTTACTTGGAGCAGCTTCCGGTCCTGCAAGCTCCATTCATGGTAAGTGCCCTCTAAAGGGGTACCTTTAATCTCTTCTACCGTATTTTTTACTGTACCTTTTCTATGTTTAGATATACAAACACTTACCGTTGTGTTACAATTACCTACAACATTCAGTAGAATAGCACGTTGTATGGGTCTCTAGCCCAGGAGCCACAGGCTGTACCATGTAGCCCGGATGTGTAGCAGGCTGTACCATCTAGATTGGTGTAAGTGCTCTCACTGATTTCCGCACAGTGACGAAATCGCCTAATGACACATCTCTCAGAACCTATCCCTGCTGTTAAGTGACACATGACTGTATACAGTTGATTGCATGACATACATATTTTTAATTCAGTGTTATGATTGTTGGGAGATAATTCTATGTGAGTCACGTTTCCGCATGTTTGTTAGAACTGTCTTAGTTCCGAATGATTGTTTTTAAACTTGTTTGTAGGTTTTGCAAAAAAAAAGTCTTGGAAGATATAGTTTCTCTCTTCGGAGCAAAGAACAGTCAGGCTTACTGCCCATTATAAAAAATGAGGGTTCCCAGAGGTTAGAGTTCTCTCTCTTATAATGTAACCGGCTGCTTGTGCAGCTGTCACCTAGCCTTCTTTGCAGCCCCCTGTGGGAACTGGGATTTGAGAAATCAGCACCAGAATATGCTGCTACTCTGGCTACTACTATTCCTGTGAATAATAAACGGTCCTTTCTCTCTGACTCAGGAGTGTTGGGTCTTCTGTGGCATTCATGACACTGTCATAGGCTGACTTGTCAGGTTGTAGTAGGGTCAGCTCTTGTCCCCTGCAGAAGTCCTGACAATGGTCAGTCTTCTTGGTCTCTTTCAGTATGACTTGTGTCATTCTTGTAGCTGATAGATACTTTCTTATATTTAGACCCCAACTTGATAAAACATTTTCAACTATATAGGGTCAGAAGTGTCTTTAGTGAGATTTTTATGCCTGGAAATGGTTGTTCTGTGGACAGAATTTACATTCACAAAAGCCACTTTCTCTCTTCTTCCTTGTTAGCAACAAAAAGGGAGTGTTGCCTGGTGAAGATCAGGGAAAATGAGTGATGGAAGAGAGACCTAATTTAGAGAAAAATGACACCCTAGAGTGAGGTGGAGGAGACAAGCAAAAAGCAATTCTCGCCATGTGTCTTTTTAACATATGTGCCTAAATAGTATGAGTAGCACTTTATCACTTGCTGTATTGAAGTTTCCAAATTAAATTCCAAAAGCAGTTTTATGACTGTAATTTATCTGCAGTATCACACAGTCCACCCAGTGGTTGCTGAAACCAAAAATAGAAAATGAGCTCATGGTCTATCTGGTGCTACCAGATTGGTTCTTGTCAGGTTGTATAGTGATCTGTATGAAGTGTGACCCAACACACCCTTCTGGGTCACACGTTGCTTGAGAGTATTATTAGTAACAGGAAATTGCTCCCTTGGTGCTGATTAGATTCCTAAAAGGGAGATTATTTACTCGATCCCTCTTTCTGATAGCTTATAAATAAAAGCTTAAATACAATAATTTATCTTAAAATGTATTTTGTAGCACAGCAGAACACCTTATGCTTTTTGGCTGTAATCCCAACACAGGGGACCAATGCCACGATCTTTCATGGAGGCTGGTATCACTTTAACAGAATACCCGCAAAGCCTTAGAGAAACAACCGTTTCCGAAACTGATGATGGATGAGGAATTGAACAAAACTTCTCAAACAGTTTGAAAAAAATAGCATGGTTTATTTTCTTTTGAATCTTATTTCTGTTTGAAGCATTTGTGCTCCTTTTAGAGCTGAGAACTCCCTGTCTATGTCTTTAAGCTAGGAGTTCTTAAAGCTACAGCTCATGTAGGTTTAAGAGGGTCCTCACGACCTCTGAAACTGCAGAAGAGAGAACAGATTGAGAGAGAAAAAAATGGCATAGGTGATAGAGGCTCTGTTCATCTCTCTGGCGACCAAATTAAAGTTGTGATGGAAACAAGGAGCAGCAGCAAGGAAAAATCACCTGGGATCTAGAGGAACAAGCAAGCGACACAACTAGAGATCATGTAGGTTTAAGAGGGTCCTCACGACCTCTGAAACTGCAGAAGAGAGAACAGATTGAGA